GCCAGCTTTCACCACTGCCAGGCCCAGAACAGCAGTCAGTGTCTGATGCTGACCCAAAGTGGCTGCTGACTTCTGCTGCCTTGAGCTGGAGAGGCTCCCTAAGTGCATTCTCTGTGCATGTGCAGAGAATGCAATTGTATTGGGGGGAGATTTAAACCCCCCTTTATATTTTATTTTTGATTCAAGATTTTTCTGCAAATCTTGGGAGCCCCCAAGTTTGCAGGAAAATCTATTAAGTGTCTGTATGGCCCCGATCTGCAGATTTAGGTAGCCACAGATGGATGTATATAGTATATAGATAAAAACTATCAAGCAACAACATCAGAATAACAGTCAAGAATAATACTACCATACAAAAAAAATAATAATCAAGGAATATCAAGAATCAGAGGAGGGCCCTGGCTCAGTGGGAGAGCATCTGCTTGGCATACAGAAGGTCATAGGTTCAATCCCTGGCATTTCCACTTAAGGATCAGCTAGTAGGTGATGTGAAAGACCACCGTCTGAGACTCCGGGGAACAGCTGCCAGTCTGAGCTGACAGGACTGACCTTGATGGACCAATGGTCAGATTCAGTATAAGGCAGCTTCATTTGTGTGTAGTTTCAATCCAGCCAACCCAGTGATATTTTTCACCACTGAAAATATAATTATCTTCATTTGTCTCCTAAATGTGTCAGCCAACCAATTGCTGCAAGGGTTATCTGCCCTTTCCTGCTTCCACATGCCATCATGTTGCATTCATGCACCTATCAGGGTTTCCCTGGCTTTCTTGACATCTCTCTCAAACCTGCTTTGCTCCTAAATTTTTGGGGGAAATTGCAGTAAAGCCTGAATGGCTGCTGTGTGGGTGAGAAAATCCAGACTTTCCTGCCCACTTGGCAGCCAGTTTCCATGACCCTGTCCTTGCAGCGGCCATTTCTTCCCCCTGCTAACAGGGGGCTTCTTTATTTTTAAAACAATCAGTGCCAGAATATTGTTTTAATGATATACTATTGTACCAGTTACCTGAATTCTTAGCTTTCACTTGAAAAAAGCGAAGTCTCTATCCCCTTCCCTTGTATCTTCACGAAGGTAGGAGCAAGAGCCTTTTGTAAAAAATGAAAGCTGGGAAAGCTGGATATATCAATGTAATGATATTCTACTGCCATTTTTTTAAAAACTGCAAAGACCTTAGTGGCCCAAAGGAGGGGACTGGCCCTAAACCACACAAGCCCCTTCCCATGTGAAATCACCTTAGACCAACCTCTCCTGAGAAGGTGTTCCACAGCTTTGTTGCCAACACTAAGAAGGCCCTGGCTCTTGTTGCCACCCATTGTTCTTCCAGTGGTAGGGAGCACCTGGAGCAGGGGCTTAGAATATGGTCTGAGGGCAGGGCATAAACCCAGAAATAGGTCCAGTGTCCCGTCCCCCCCAGTGGAATGAACCTGAACCAGATATCTGCTTTGAACCCAAACCAGAATCAATACCTTAACCACAAAAAATGTTAACTGGTTCAAAAATAAATGGTTCAATAAATAGGCACTCGGGAGACAACTTTGGAGGGGTAGTGAGGGCTCCTCTCTGCTCCAGTTTATTTGTAGTGACTGAATTTCCCAGTGAGAAGAAGAGTTGGATTTATACCCCGTCCTTCACTCAGAGTCTCAGAGTGGCTTACAATCTCCTTCCCTTTCTCTCCCCACAACAGACGCCCTGTGAGGTAGGTGGGGCTGAGAGAACTCTGAGAGAATTGTGATTGACCCAAGGTCACACAGCTGGCTGCATTTGAAGGAGTGGGGAATTGAACCCAGTTCTACAGATTACAGTCCGCTGCTCTTAACCGCTACACCAAACTGAGCCACCTGAAAAGAAGAGGGGGACAAACAGGAGAGATTGGTAGGCAGGGCCTAGGACTTTTAGAAACTTCCTGATTCTAAAATTGAGGTTTATGCACCCACAAGCTTTTGCCCAGCTGCAGAGCTCCAGCGTGGAGGACTCTTGCATTGAGGCTAGATTTCTTGTATTGCACTGGCATGGTAGTTCCTTCTTGCTGCCCTTCTATTATATCTAAACATGTTGTTCTCTTTTTTTGCTAATATATAGGGCTTCTTGAAAGAAAAATGGAGCCCTGGGGAATTTGGTGTAGGAAAGTTGATATTAAAAAAAGAAAGAAGTCTATGAGAAGGGAAGGAAAGGGAGGTTAGTTTGGCTAGGCTTAAAGCTTAGTTTTCAGCTTTGGCTGCTACCTAAGAGGAGACTTTCCTCTTAAAATAGAATAATTCAATTCTACGTATTTGACTTGTGGATGGGGCAGGTTCATGGTGCAGAAGCTAGGTTTTTGTGTGTTCGTTTTATGATATGCAATATAGGCAAAGCAACATTAGTAAAAACCAAGGCCTAGGGAAACAAAGGAACTGTGACTATGGTGATACTTCAATACCTAGCATATGCACCAGAAAATTGTCAACAAAGTTTACAACACACACACACAAAATCAAGCAAGTGGTCTACTATGATTCTGTCCTGAGAGGGAAGCCTTTTCTTACAGTAGCCAAAGGCAGAAAAATTGGGTCCAGCCACCCTTGGCAGTCTCAGACAAAGTAACAAAGTGATTAATAAAAGAAAAAGGTTACAACTGTTAAACACAAATCTACCCTATTCTCTTTCCTGTCTATAATGTGATTTCATGAAATGTGTTTGAACCCGTTATGGAATCACTTTTTAAAATTAGTGGCTGAGCTGAATTGGAAAGTAAAAAAAATACTCTTGAAACTAAACCAAACCAAACCCAAATTTTTAATGGTTTGACTCCCTACCTGAGAGTTTTGATTTGTTCACACGGGAAGAGGAAGGCAGTCTCTCCTGCCAGTGACTTGTGTACTTTCCTGTGCAGTCCTGAGCAGTTATGTGGAAGAAATTTCATGTAATGTGGGAATGAACACACATGACTACACACACGATGGTGCCTTATAGTGAATCGGACCCTTAGTCCATCAAGGTCAGTATTGCCTACTCAGGCTGGCAGTGGCTCTTCAGGGTCTTGCATCACCTCCTACCTGGTCTTTTTACCTGGAGATGCCAGGGATTGAATCTGGGACCTTCTTCATGCCAAGCAGATGCTCTACCACAGAGCCACAACCCCTCCTCTATGCTCTAAGACATATCCTGCAACTAGGGAAATGGAATTATTTTGTCGTGCTGAAAACTTGGTGGTTCGTGCCTGCAGATACTCTGTATATCAGAAACGTTCTGGAGTGTAAACCCTACTGTTTTGGCCTGGACTTCAGAACTTAATTGTAGCCCATTTGGATGGTATTTTGAGGCAGTCATGAGAACTTTGGTAGGGATGTAATGTGAAAGAACAGGACAGACGTAATTTAGCAGTCCACATTTTATGCTGACAAGTGATGATGCTCTGACAGGGACAGCATGATTTTAGGGGCAGAATCCTTAAGTCACACTTGTATGATTCATTTAGAAACTTGCAGGTATAAAGCTACCTCTTCAGTGTATACGGTTTCCAATTTATAAGGCCATCACCTGTTTAGAGGAGACACTGGCGTGAAAAGGTTCCAGAAAAGGTTCCAGAAGTGTGACTAATAGACAGCTCCCTCAAAATGGGGTGGGGGTGGGGTAGAGAATTGTATTTCTCTTACTTCCTTAACTATTTAAAAATGATAAATTTGAAGAATTGTTTGGTTTATTAACCTTTTCTTTTTAAATAGCAAAAAGACGGGACATTTGCTGCAGGAGGTTATATGCCACCTCTGCGATTTAAAGCACTGACACTTGCTGTTGTCTTTGGAACTATGCTTGGAGGCATCATGATCCCAAATGGTAAGTAAAACTTTAGTTAGTTATATATTTTTTTCTAATCTTAAATGCATTTAGGTGAAAACACACCAGGATTTTAAATATGTACAAAATAATTATATTTTCTGTTCTATAATATGCTTGTGTCTAGGGGCAGTGTCCTGCCCCCACCCCCACCTGCTTCAGAAGGGACTCAGGCAGCCCAGCCAGGGGCTGTAGAGAAGGAGTAAGGCTGAGGCCACACCTAGGAGAGTGCCAGTAGCAGCCTCAGAGCCTGGAAGGGCCTGGCATACACTTCAGAAGGGAGACAGGGCTCAGGCAACAGCCTGCCCTGGGAAGAGGCCAGAGGAAGAGAACGGTAGCAGCTTGGGTCTCCAGGGCCTGCATAGGCCTGCGGAGCAGTCTCTTAAAGCCTTAGAGGAGGGCAAGGCAGGAGAGGGGAGGGCCCCAGCCAGGGAGGCCATTGGCCCAGATTCTCTCCACTGTGGGCCTACCCCTGAGGAGTCCACAGTCAGACAGTCTTTTATTAGGCCAGACAAGGGAGAGTCAAGGAGGCAGGGCCTGGCCAGGCCTTTGCAGCCAAAGGTCTGGTATAAAGCTGGAGGGAGAAGGCTCAGGGTGAGGCTGCTCCTCTGTCCTCTCCCTAAACTGAGGCCCAACCCGTGGGCCTGCTGAAGAAAGGATGCTGGCATGCACTCTCTGGCCTGCAGGAGTCGGAGCATAACACCTTAGAAATGCTCATTTCATATTACTTGGAGCCACTGAAATGCTACCCAAAGCTCTTCTTAAAGGTTCTTGAGCATGGGCTACTCTCCAGTGGATAGGAGTTGTGAGATTCTGAAGCAGTCATAGAGTTTCTCTCAGTAGGCCTTCCTTATCTCTGCTTGATGCTTGGATGGAAGGATCATGGGGCATTCCTGTTTGTGACATAATATGGAGAAGCAGGGCTCACGCCATGTATGTGGTGTGGCTTTTTCTTTTTTTGGTCAAAATGCCATCCAACAGAGGTAGTTATGGATTTTGTGAATGTTATTTGTTAACTGCCTCAGAACATGCCTTACAGCATGTGGGTGTGGATAAGCAGCATGCTGCTAGTTACCACCTCTTGAGTTGATGACTGTGGGTGTCATATAGCAGCATGTGTTAGAATAAGCTTAATTGTGTGTGTGTGTGTGTGTGTGTGTGTGTGTGTGGATATGCTGTTTTTTAAAGCTTTGCATCAGAAGAGTTGTATGTGTACATATATTGTATGCACTTAGAATTATTGTATTTGTGAACAGCCGTTCATTATATACACATCACTGTTTCGGGTGATCCACCCTATGTTTTTGTTTCCACACACTTCTGTTAGATTCTTGCTCCTGTTTTCAGAATCTGGGAAATCTTGCTTTGAAATCATAGTATTTTAGTTTGGTTTGGGTTTATATTTAAATTCCTCTTTTCTGACAGTTGTCTCCCAAAGCAACTTACATCTATAAAGAGAGACAGGCCCCATTGACAGGACAGGACATTGAAAGGGAAAGACAGGGAGGGAGACCAGTTTCATGGAATTTATATACAGCTGGACTAGGCTGATCTTGTCCCTTGCTGGCAGTCCTACTTGGATGAAAGTGGTAGAACTGTCTTGTGGCCTGTAGTGCTCTGGAAAGAGATGGATTTCTTAAACAGTACTAGACCTGACCAGTGTTCCCTCTAAGCTGAGCTAGCTCACAGTTTTTTAGCCTCCGGCTCACACATTTTTGTCTTGGCTCAGGAAGGGATGGCTCCAAGAGCAACCCAATTTATGCAGCAGCCAAATTGCTCGCTCACAACTTTACGCTAGTAGCTCACAAAGTGGAATTTTTGCTCACAGGACTCCACAGCTTAGAGGGAGCATTGGACCTGACCATTCTCTTCCCTCAGCTACCTGCAGCCATTTTGGTATATATGGTGCTGGTGATCACAGAGGGTCTGAAATGCTTATGTGGCCTCTGTTTTCAGTTCTATTATCAGAGCTGCTTTGTTAGTCAGGTCATGACTATTACCATTGTTTGATCAAGGGGAGGGGGTGGGTGGGCCTCAGCCCCAGAAGAATTGGTGTTGGTTCATGCAAGGAGCTTATCACGGTAGAGAACTGAATTCATGTTTATGGAATTCAAGGTTAGTGCAATGGGCAAGGCAGGGCAGGTTCTAGTATGAACAGCTAGCTGGATGAAGTCATTGCAGAGTGATTTCACATGCAAGATATACTCCAGTGACTAACCTTCTTACCTCATGGTCCTCAGCTATAACTGGGCCTTAATACAGAGTTCCAGTAAAGGATGAAGTCCTTTGCCTTGTTAAGAAATCCAGAAGAGGCACTGTTCTTGGATTCATACTCAGAGCACATGTGCAGAATCACTTAATATAAGTTAGTCTTCCCTTCATTACTTGGCCATGAGCATGTACTTTCCCCACCCTTTTAATGCATTCTTAAGTGTGAAGGTGTATTCTACTCCACTTTAGTGAATGGGAGTATGAAATTAGGTGTGTATGTTTATCCCCTTAAGTTATGTCATGTATAATAGCGATACTGTGCTTGTGGTGTCACAGGTTCTAAAGCAAATTACAGTCTGCACAAGTGTTTTGATGAAAGGGCAGAAAAAGCACCTTCTTCACAATCCTAGTTGTGAGTGATTCTTGAATCCAAGTTAAGTGACCCTGAGCTTGTACTTCTAGAGCCACTATGAACTATTCCATTACTTCACACTATAGTCTCTGTCTTTACTTTGGGCCGTTGCTTACTATTTGTTGTTTGTTCTTGCTCTTTTCCAGTGGAGACCATTTTGGGCCTAACTGGTGCAACGATGGGAAGCCTCATCTGTTTTATCTGCCCAGCTCTTATTTACAAAAAACTCCAGAAGAATTCCCTTTGCTCACAGGTCAGTGCTGATTTAATTAAGCCCTGTCTCCAGCAATAGGGCCTGGGAACTTCATTATTTTCCCCATAGCCAAGAAACCCAGTCAGCCCTCCTGTTTTCACATGGAAAGGAGGCACTGCAGTCTGTTGCTCTGACCAGAATGTACAGCCTCAAGGATGTGTGTGCTTGTGTGTGTGTACATATAGGCGCATGTTTTAGCGTGCATAATCTTGGAACACCCACACTTTTATCTCTAGCAGCCATGGAAGTGCATTAAATAACTGCCTCCAGACACCCGGCCAGCATGTTCGAGCTTTCCTAGCACAGAAAATACAGGCAGCTGAAGAAGCTGCCTGTTTTGACCTGTCAGGTTTGGCTAAAACAAACATCCCTCCTTGACTCTGTGGGTCCTGCTGCTGACCCTTGGCTTTTTGGTTCTAACCAAAAATAACAACCATGAAAAAGAATACACACAAAAAAAGTGTTGCTACAGAAATAGATTTTTCTTTGCAAAAAGTGCGTTTGTTTAAAGCCCTGTTTTTTTCCATTCAAAGGCTGTTGCTCCGCTCCAATTCACCAAGACTGATTTCAGTCTTTTGATTTTATTTTTCCTCATGTGATTTTTTAAAAAAACATTGCTGAAATAAAGGGGGTGTTTCTTTGGTATTCTCTTTAGCATATATGCTAGCCATGTGGTTCTTGTTCATGTCAACATTGCTCAAAGAGGGAAAAGACTGTTGAGTGCTGCATCGGGGCACTTTTGAGGGCCTGCAAACATGTGAGGTTTTAATTGGCATGGAAATATTGTGGTTGCTTCAGTGTTACTGATGCAAAGTGGTTTCCTCTGAGTCATGATGTGTCATAGAATTCACAGGGTTGGAAGGAATCCGAAGTCATTGAGACTGACCACATGTCGTAAGGCAGAATCATTCATGCTTTCACATGCATCTGTATTATAAATCCAGATGGGCAGCCATGTTGGTCTGAAGCAGTAGAATAAAGTTTGAGTCCAGTGGCACCTTTAAGACCAACAAAGTTTTATTCAAGGTATGAACCTTCGTGTGTGTGCTCATACCTTGAATGAAAGTTTGTTGTTCTTAAAGGTGCCACTGGACTCAAACTTTGATGTATGTTATGAGTTATCTTAGAAGTGTTTTGGACATTATAACGCAGGATTCTCAAACTCCACACATTTCCTGTTCTAGTGCAATAGTATCATGACCAGAGAGCAACCTTTGTATACTTTGACCACCGCTACTTCTGGAGGTGTGCAAGTTGCTGTCCATTATGTACCTCCAGGGGGGATGATGCAAAGACTGTTTGGGTGACATGATGTTGAAAAGGGACCAGGAAACAGGGAATCTGCAAAGGGATGCAACATTCAAAGCTGACTGGCATCTCTGTCTCTTTCTTACTCACATTCTTACTTTCACTCTCCACTTTCTAGTAAATTAATCTATGTTGTTCAGATATAGTATAGAGAAGGAATAAACGAAGTGGATCAGGCTAGATGTAGCCTGCAGGCAATGAACAGCGTAGCAATACAATCCATTAGGCCCAAATATTAGTTCTAACTCAGAACTCTGCGCTTTCTAGCAAGAAGACTGAATTGCAGACTGGGATTTCAGTGGGAAGAAGCACGTTTGTCAGGATGTTGTGGCTTTTTTTTAATGCAGGCTGAGCAAAATCCTTCTCTCCAGCAAAGAAAACTGCACTCTGGTTATGACGATCTGTTAGATTCGCTGCCCTGAGCAAGTGTCAGCTAGTTCCAGTCAAAAACTGGGGCTTACTGACTGCCAGACCCTGGCAGGCCAGAAGGGCAGATGGCAAAAGAAGATGCCCATTGGTTAAAGAGCCTGAGGCCAACTGGTTGTCTAGGTGGACCAGGATTCTTTGGCCAGGCAGCCATCCACAGCTTCATAAAGGGCATCCATCCTTCTCTAAGCAGGGGTGGGTGGGGGGATGGAAGACCACCAATCATTCATTTTTGTGGCAGTGTACTATATTTGAATATTCTGATTGTGGCTTTGGAGGTGCTGGTGGACAACCAGGATATACTGGAGAGGATTGGGAGTGGAGGAGGGCAATAGAAAAATGGTGACTAGAAGCTGGAAGACTTGTCCCAGAAAACACTTTGGTGCCTAGCGTTTCCACAGATACCATCCCCACATTTTCTCAACTTTTTTGACAAGACTGAGAGCTGCATAGTTTCTTTTAGGCCCTGCAGAGCTCTGCACTCTACTGCATCATATATACTACTGGCCTACCTTTTGCTTGGCTATCAGTGACAGACTTGACTTTATTTCACTTCTCTTATTTCTGTATAACTCCCTCCTTTTTCCCACAGTCCTTTTAATATGGGCTCTGGATGCTTTTTTCTACATGCTTGTGACTGAAGCTGTCATGGAGCTCTTTAGTCAAGATGCCTGTGTTTTTCAGGCTGGTTCTTCGAGGAGTGGGCTTTTGTTCCAACCAGGTGTAATCTCTGAGCTTGTTCCAAGAGCTCTCGGGCATAGCAGACTGGCATCCCATGCTAGTGGCAATGAAATCTCTGCAAGCCACCATCTCTATTTTAGGTACAGGGTCCTCATGCTGCTTGATTCTTTTCCTCCCTAGCCTTTTACAGCTCCAGTGGGCATGGCACTGAGCAGGTCAGAGGTGTCTGAGCAACATCTTAATTCCAGTTATGCAGTTATGTCCCCCGCCATGTGCCCCCCCCCAGTAGCTCACTGCTGCCTTTGCAGCCTCCGTGTGGGCCCTACGCAGCTTGCTATCAAGTTAGTTTACCTAGCCAACTTGTTTTTAAATCCATCCTAACGAGCTTCTTAATTTGCTCAGATGAATCACTCCTCAGTCAAGTAGTGCTTCTTTAACTTGCACCTGCTGTTACGAAGATTAGACTAGTTGCCAGTCATGGGGGCTGTACAGGAAACGGGATGCCCTGTTGAGCTGTGAGCCAGAGTACAGTAGAGGTGCTATAGTTCAAGGTGGAATCTGGAGGAAGTGAGTGGAAAACGTATTTCTCCCTTCTTCTGTCCCTATCAAACCCATTCCCAAGGGGGAGGTGGAAATGCATCCCCAGATGTTTTTGTTGGCTGGCAAAAGGGTGTCTAATTCTGCCAACTGGAGTTGTTAATTATTACAGACAGCTGGTCAGTCAACAGCTGGCAGTGAGCCAGAGCTCAAGAACGGCAGCTTGGATTAAGTAGCGAGGGTAGCCCAGTTAAAAAGCCTGGAATGTTGGAATGAGAGACTAGGGAAAGTATAGGAACACTTCAAGCCAGGCTTGTGTGGAAGCACAAATGAACTGGGGAACTGTCTCTTTTTGCTGTGGTTCCTGTTTCAGGCCCATATCCATTCTTGGCCTGTGGGGCAATGTGGGGACAGACTGAGGTTTGGAGAAGGTCCTGTGAAAGTCTGTAAACAAAAGGACTCAGTTTCTGATGGGAAAGTTTTAGCCTTGCTCTCGTAAAAGGCCTCCCCAAGCAAAGGAGAAGTCATGGTGCTGTCCTGTGTTTGATAGGCAAGAAAAGACTGTGTGCCAAGGCTGCGTTAATGATCCTTTGTACCTGGCTGGCAAACGAATAGGGTAGTACATGGAATTAGTGAAGAGTGGGGGGGGGGGGGAGAACAGCCTGTGTCCTTGACATTGCCTTGCCTCCACCCTGTTAGGTCTTACCACTCTGACCTCAGAACTGCAGGTTTCCCTTCTCTCTAGGTTCCCCAAACATTTTAAAAACAACACAGTTTTCCATCCAGTCTTTAAAGGTGCCCAAGGAATGCAGAGAGAAGCAACACTTGGCTGCTTCAGCCCCTGGGTGGTGGTGGAGAGGGGCAGGCAGGGAATGGGCAAGTGAGAAGGGCAGAGTGGTGGACTGGGGTGGGGCAGCCTCAGAAAGCCCCCCCCCCCAACTGCTGCTGAGACAGTAGCTAGGCCACCAGGCATAGAAATTGTCCTGAATCTAGCTCTCTTGGTTAGAAGCTTGAAATGTGTGACTTTTAACCTTTGTCTGCTGAAAGGCGTTGTCTCTTGGGACAAGAGCATGGAATACCAAAAGGTACTGATGCAAAGTTACTGCGGCAAGAAAACTGGATTGTGCCTTTTCCTTTTGGATGGTTCTTTTCTTCATTCTTCCCCACATGTCTGTGGTTTCCATTAACTATTAATTCACTTTAAACCCCACTTTTTAAAACACCCCTTCCCTTTATGATTTTGGAGCTGGATCAGAGTGTAATGTATGTGGAATCACCTTTGATTTTGCAGGGAAAAGAGGGGCCTGGAACCCTGGTTGGGTTAGGAGATCCTGGCAGGGAAAGGTTCAGCCCCCCCCCCTTCTGTAAAGCATCACCTCCCAAATGACTACTGGGCCAGTGTTACACCTGGTTCAGTGTAACCTAGTTTGGCCCTTAGACAGAGGTGTAAAATTTCTGGAAATTTTGAAGCCACAGGGGAAAAATCTGGGAGAACTTGAAATATATGCAATAGTTATTGTCCTGTCAAACTTAAACTAATATTACTGCTTTAACAACATAAAATGCATCATTTATAAGTTACTTAGCATATAAAATTGCAACACTTGACATATTTATGGAATTTAAAAGTTAGAAATGTCTTAGTTTTTTATAAGCAAAATTGCAAATATACCCAATACTTGAGAGAAGATTAAAAGCTGATACTGTCTTAACTCATGTACCTTAATTTTTGCTATCTGAGTTAGCGCAAACTCAGTTCTCAATGGACCTTCCAGAGTTTTCCTCTGAAGCTTTGGTGCAGTTTGTGCCCTACCGCCTACTGATCTTTTTTTCCCTTCTGCAAGAAAGGGCACTAAGCGACTTGCTACCCAATCTGTGGGTATATGTGTCACAGTGGCTTGAGGGAGAGGTGAAAAGGCCAACCACGACAGGTTAAAAGGACAACAGAAGGTATGCAACAGTTGAAAAGCAATGAAAGCCCTGCATGCTCCCTCATAAAGATTATGCAGAATGCATATTGAATTTAAGAGCTGTATGCCACCTTGTCT